CTTCAGCGCCCGCCCTCCGCCGCCGCGAGTCCACCTGCGCCCTTCCCGGTGTCCCCAGCGAACCGGGCCGGGGACTCCTATTGTACGCGCTTCCCGGTCTCGGTTCCGCGACAGAGGCTTCAGCTGGTGCGGGAGAGGAGCTGCCAAACCCCGTTTATTTTCGGGTTCCGACGTTGACTAAGGAAACCGGCAACTGAGAAAGGCTGGGGCCAGCTTGCGTGGCCAAGCGAGAACCCACAGTGTCCATGATGGCAGTGAACCTGCGTAGCTGATATGAGCACCCAGAAGATTTGCAGAGAATTGCCTGTGCCCTGGAGTGTGGAGGCAGAAAGCGGGGAGAGCCCTGGCTGGTTTGGCTCTGTGGGTAGAGCCTTGGCCTGCGGACTGAAGGATTCCTGGTTGGATTCCCAACAAGGGCACATGCCCCTGATGCGGGCTCCATCCCCAGTAGGGGGCGTGCAGAAGGAAGCCAATCAGTGATTCGCTCTCATCATCGATGTTTCTATCTCACCCTCTCTCTTCCTCTCTGAAATCAATAAAAATATATTTTTTTTAAAAAAAAAGAAAGCAGGGAGAGTCCGTGCACATAGGGTTGCATTAATGTCAGTACCAGCTATGGATTTCTCTCAGGGACTAGATTGCCTGCCTTTGCAGGATTATGCAAACCTTTCAGAATTTTGCCACAACATTAGGACAAGGAGGAACAACCCTTAAAATCCGGGGATAAAATTGCCCACCATCCATGCAGAACTGAGGCGCCAGAATAGAAATGAGAATGATTGAAAGAAAAGAACACCACATTGCTTGTGTGAACACAAAGGGGCCACATGCTAACCTAACTCAAGGAAGGCCTGCTGACGGCCTTGCAAGCTCAGGAGACCTAAAGTAACCACAAAGGGTGGTCCGAAATTAAAACCGCATTAAAAAGCAATTTATAGTGGGTAGTCATGTCCTAGGCCAGTATCTTCCTTGACAAAGATCGACTTTGATCTTTACTTGAGCCTATTGTCCTTTTGCATCTAAGATAACATATCTGTGGAATGTCCAGGGCAAAGATCACAAATTCCCTCATTGTCAGTTATCTTGTTGATTGCTGGCTGTTAACTATTCTGTACCCACCTATATGAACGAAGTATGTGAAGATCATTTTACTTTTTATCCAATCCCAGAGGTTTCCCCACTTTACCTCCTCCCGCCTCCCTAATCTATCACCAATGTATTTCATGGAACCCACTGACACCTCCTTTGATTGTAATGTGTAAAACAAGGTGAAAAACCGCCATTCTCCGCAACATTATCCCAATATTTAGAGATCTGCTGCCCAGCAATTATCGAGAGTTTGGCTCAAATAAACTCATATAAGTGAACTTTCACGAGAGACCTTGACTGCATTGTGAAAAGCCCATTTCTTAATGCAATTAAAGCATGCACCTTTATTGAAAAAGCAAAGCAAGCAAATTTGTCTTATTTCATCCAGGTTGGAGGGCAGATGGGCTTTCCCGGCAAATCCGGAAAAGCCAATGTCTGGAGCAGGTTCCAGGAGTAACATACCCTCCTGCCTATAGGTTTCAAAGATTCTTTTGCCGAATATCTGGGTATAGGTTAAGTCTCAAGTTCTCTCTGTTGTGGTCTTCCCAGAATTCTGGCAACTTTATCTTGCCAAGCCCCAAGACTGCTGACTTCTCCACTAGGGAGTAAACACTGTGCTTTTTTCCTTTTCCCTTTCTCCCTCCCTTCCTGCATCCTCTCCTTAGCGAGGTCTTTAACTGTTTGCTCTCAAGGTCCCTCGCTGGGAGAGATAGTGGCTCGTTATTCAGCTGCAAATTACTCGCACTGTTTGGCCTTGTTTTAATTTTCCTGTCTCCGTTTTCCCCTATTCCTCCTGCCCTGGAATCCTGTAACAAGACGAATTGAAATGAAGTGAAGATCAAAGTTTGGGCAATGTGGAACTTGAGAAATGATGAGGCCAGGCTTTCTGATGAATATATATATATAAAAGATAATTATCAACCTTGTATTAAAGTTACGAAAGAAGATGATGTGGGAGGGATGTTTTGTAACAACTGGGAGACGCTGCAATAAAGATTTGGAAAGAATAACATAAAATTTTCAAAATTATGTCTCATCTTCAAAATTATCTTGATATTTGACACAGAGATATAATTTGTCTTATTTTTTGTTATCCACAGCCTCAGTCTTTCTGATTCCCACAGAAGGAACTCACCCGAGAGTAAGCTCTTCTTTAGTGTTAGCCATTATGTTAAGATTTGCTTATCTGAATGACAACTTTTGGAACTTGATAGTCAGCTCCCATTCAATAGAATTAGACTGTCACCTAAGGAATGCAGTTGAGCGTGACTACTCATCCAGTGAGCACCGTTTCCTAAAAGCATTTGTTCAAATATGAAAGCAATAGGCTCAATCTCTCATCTATGAAGGCATGCTGGGAAGCAGTCTTTAAATTTTGAACTCTGCCTATCAGCAATCTAATTATTTCAGAATTACCAGTTAAGCAATCAATTCCTAAACGGCATTTCAATGTGACTTCGGGACAGGGTGCCCTGTCCTATGACACCGATGATCTAGCAGGGAATAAGGTTTCCATGAGGAGGTGGAGGTGACAAACATTGAACAAATAGTCACAAATGTGACTTCTGTTGAGAAAAAAGAAATGGAGATTTTTTCTTTTCTACATAACTTTTTAGTTTATTCTAATTGGGAAGAAATAGGTGAACAGAGAGATTAGGATGACAAAACAAATTATTTTCCTGTCAGCATCTACTGGAATTCCAAATGAATAAACATCACAGTTTTACTTAATGATTTATAAATATAATTTAAAAAATGTTTATTGAGCACCTACTATGTATCCAAATGGTTCACATGCATCAACTCTAATTGGTGGTAGTACAAAGTGGGCATTGCTGTTTTCTGTGCAAATGAGTTTAAGGCCTCACTCCCCCACCTCCACCCAGCTTTCCACCCCTGAGTCTCTACCATATAAAAATCTTGTGGCAAACTCAAGGCAGGTACTATGAACTTCATTTTATAGATGAGGAAACAAGTTAATTGAATAAATTACCAAAGCCTCACAGCTTATAAATACAAAATATATCATCTGAACCCAAATCTTGTAGGGATTTTTTTTTCTTTACAGTGCTTCAATAATGGTTACTTTTCTTCTTTGTATCTATACTGATTACTCAGCCATATTAAAAAAGAAAATCCCTTCTCCATTGGGTTTCTTATATCATATTTAGAGCTTACTCCACTTTTTCCTTTCCTTTATTCCTTTATGTTTGAGTATTCTAAGACTGCCAGCGAACATTTCTGACTGTGTGGCTATATAGCCTGGCTCCCTGGTCAGCAAACTATGGCTCACGAGCCACATGCGGCTCTTTGGCCCCTTGAGTGTGGCTCTTCCTAAGCCTTAGGAGTACCCTAATTAAGTTAATAACAATGTACCTACCTATATAGTTTAAGTTTAAAAAATTTGGCTCTCAAAAGAAATTTCAGTCGTTGTGCTGTTGATATTTGGCTCTGCTGACTAATGAGTTTGCCGCCCACTGGCTGATGCAAAAGAGGGAGGAGAGGGTTCAAAGCTGATATTCCCACTACTCGGTTAGATAGTCCTAATTCTTGTTTTATATTCCTGTGCAGGTCCTGGGCCAATTTGTCCTCAAACACTGTCTTGGTCTGCTCTGTTTTGCAAAAGGATGAATCCCCACGCCAGTTGGATTATTGACACTGACAGTGACTGGAGAGAAACTGAAGAGTGGGAGGAAGATGCAAGCCCTGGCTTCTGTCCTCTCCTTGCTGTAATTGGTGTCGTAATTGGTGCCATAATTGGTGCCGTAATTGGTGTCGTAATTGGCAGCAGTTTTCTGATGTGGCTCCAGCTTCTGCCAGATGACCCTGACCCTTGTGCTCTGATAATGTTACTTCTGCCTTTTGCTTTTTAAACTGAGCTGGGGAAGGTAATTAGCAACTACTGTTGCTGATCCCTGGGTCTTCTTACCTGTCCTCTCTCTGTTGGGCTGTGTGTTTGTTTTTTAACCATTGCTCTGCAGAAAGTCGTGCTGTTTTAAATACTCATATGTGCAAGGAACAGACTGTAGAACCTCGGAGGGAAGGCAGGGGAGGGTGGTGGGAAGAGATCCAACCAGTGAACTTGTTGGCCTATATGCACCACCCATGACACAGACAATGGGGTGGGGAGGACTTGGAGTGTGGGGTGGGAGCAAGACGGAGGAGCTCAATAGGGGAAAATGGGACTTATGTAATACTTTCAACAATAAAGATGTAAAAATAAGTACTCAGATGTTTTTTGTTTTTCTAATCAAATCTTTTAATACACCCCAAATACTTGAGATTACATTATAAAGATCAGCTCACTTGTGAATATCTGTTTAATAAATGTCTTCTTGGCCAAATTCTTCGTTCCATAAGGGCAGAGATCAGGCCTGTATGTCTCACCTGGGTATTGGGTGGTGATTGCCAGATGAGAGGTGCTTGAAAGAATGAATGGATGAATAAGACATGCAAAGAAGTTTTTCTCTCCTCAAACCATCTGTCTCCTCCTCACTCCTTATTGTTGTCCTGGAATAATGAGGCAAAATAGCAGCAGAAAAGGCAACGCTGTTCTTGTTCTGTATATCCTCCGCTGGCTCAGGCACCAAGAAAAGTCAAGTCACACACACACACACACACACACACACAGGTAACATCTGTTCGAATAAAGTAGAAGTGGGATATTTGAATGCACAAAAGAAAAAACTTCACGGCACTAACCGGAGAAGCTGGCAGTGGGGATGGTAAGCCTGGTGCGGCCTTTAGAACCAAAGGAAAACCAAGGGAGCACTGAACAAGTTTTATTTTAACTT